GGTTTTCGTTTACATAAACTATATTCGATGCGACTTTTTGTCTAAGCTTCTATCCTGCCATGTTTGCATGTTTGACAGCATTTCATAAATCAATTGCCGCGTCGTCTTCCTTCGCAGTCAACCCATCCTCTAATCCGCACCAGCCAGGTTAGTCTCAGCTCCAATCCTGATGCAGACTTTCGCTACACGACAATCTTCACGCCGATCGGACTGTATAAGGGTCAACTCTATTCTATCAAGAAGGTGCGCAAGAAGAGCGTGGATATCACAAGGGAGATGAAGAAGGAGCTGAAGCTGGTAAGCGATTGCAATCTTCGGTCTCCGCCAGATCTAACTTCAACTCATAACTAGCTAAGGGACGCCCGCCACGACAACATATGCGCATTTATCGGTGCCTGCACGGAACCACCCAACATCTGCATCATCAGCGAGTATTGCACTCGTGGCAGCCTTAAGGTTGGATTGTTTGAATCTATCTGCCAGGGCGAACGCCAAGACTAACCGCCCTTCATTTTGCAGGACATACTGGAGAATGAGGATGTCAAGCTGGACAACATGTTCATTGCCTCCATGGTGGCGGACATTATACGCGTGAGTGCTGCTGTGTAACATTATACTAATGGCATCCCCTCCCGTTCATTCAACGAGTATGTGTTTGTCTGACCATAAACTTCTGGCTTCCGCAGGGCGTCATCTACTTACACGAGTCGCCCATCCGATTCCATGGCTCGCTGTGCACATCCAATTGCCTGGTGGATTCGCGTTGGGTGGTCAAATTGACGGACTTTGGCTTGTTTGCTTTCAAGCAGGGCATCGAGGACAACTCCACGGACATGCAGCATATGTCGGCCAAGTGTCTCAGTGAGTTCGTGCGTGCATTTATGCGATCTGATAGTTACGTAGTTTCTTCCAGAGCTGCTCTACCGAGCCCCAGAGCTTTTGAGGCAGGGTCCCTCCTCGATGGTGATGGGCACACAGCGCGGCGATGCCTACTCGTTTGCCATAATACTTTACGAAATGCATGTACGACGCGGTCCGTTTGGGGAGACAGGTCTGACGCCCATGCAGTGCCTGCAGAAGGTTATGCAGCCACAGGATCAAGTCCATCCTTATCGACCTTCGCTGCAGCCACTCGAGACCGCCTTCGATTGCGTCAGTGAGTGTCTGCGTGAGTGCTGGGCCGAACGGCCCGAGGATCGACCTGAGTTCAAGGCAATTCGCGCCAAGCTAAGGCCGCTGCGCAAGGGAATGAGACCTAACATCTTCGACAACATGATGGCCATGATGGAAAAGTATGCCAACAATTTGGAGGCCCTCGTGGACGATCGCACGGATCAGTTGCAGGAGGAAAAGAAGAAGACTGACGCCTTGCTACATGAGATGCTGCCGCGCTGCGTGGCCGATCAGCTAAAGAAGGGCCATAAAGTGGACCCCGAGCACTACGAACAAGTCACCATATATTTTAGCGATATTGTCGGCTTCACGGCCATGTCTGCGGAGAGCTCGCCCCTCCAAGTGGTGGACTTCCTTAATGATCTCTACACCTGTTTCGATTCCATCATCGGGCACTACGATGTCTACAAAGTGAGTTTCAACTCTTGTGACTAATAAGGAATGTACTATCACCCTACAAATGTTCTTTGGCAACAGGTTGAGACCATTGGCGATGCCTACATGGTCGTATCTGGTCTGCCACTGCGCAACGGAGATCTGCATGCCGCAGAGATTGCCACAATGTCCCTGCACCTGCTCAGCGCCGTGTCCGAGTTTAAGATCCGTCATCGACCCACCAATCGGCTATTACTTCGCATCGGCATCCACTCAGGTCCCGTTTGCGCGGGCGTCGTGGGTCTAAAGATGCCGCGTTACTGTCTCTTTGGGGATACGGTCAACACGGCGTCGCGCATGGAGTCGAGCGGAGTGCCGCTCAAGATTCACTGCAGCTGGCAGTGCCGGCAACTGCTGGAGCGGCTGGGTGGCTATCAATGCCAAGAACGCGGCATGATCTCGATGAAGGGTAAGGGAGAGCAGCGCACCTACTGGCTAATGGGCGAGGATGATGAGGCACGTGTGCGTCGCACCTATGAGCGATCCCAACGGCGCGGCTCGCGGGCCCTTAACAAGTTCATCCAGGGCACCATCAAGCAGGCCCAGGAGCAGGCTAACGATTGTGGAATACGCTCCTCGCTAAAGCAAAAGAACCTGCCGCGAAACTCACTGACTCGATCCTCCAGTCTTGAGTCACCCAAGAAGCTGCGCTTTGCAGCCGGAAACATGCTGGAGCATCACCGATATCACAGGTTTGCCAATGGGCTAACACAATGCCTGAGCAATAATAACCGTGTCGTTTTCAGTGACGAGGCCTTGCTGGAGGTGGACTCCTACACGGGCCTACGTCGTTCCTCCGGTGGCTCGACACACTCCCGCTACGAGGAGTCAACTCTATCCTGCCAAAGCATCGAACAGCTTGACCCGCAGCAGCAAAAGCGGCGGCCGTTCTCCTATCCGACGGTCAACACGCCGCTGCTGATGAATCATGTTGAAGTCTAAGTCGGATCGAAGGAATCACATTACTAGAATATGTTGTCAGTATCTTTAGCCAAGTATTATTGTTGTTGTGTCAGTTGCTTTTGTGTGTTGTCAGTGGGTGCATAATGCCCCCCACTTAATCATATGCGTGCATACGTTCCAGGGCTATCTACTGGAACCGCAGACGGAAATCGAGGTATGCTATATATGTGCAATTCGTAGTATCAGCATATTGTGAGAGTGATTACAAATCTAGTCGTTGTATACAAAATGAATACGCTAGTTTAGACAATAGCTTAATCTTAATTTTAAAACAGTATAATGATAAACATGATGTCTGTAAACCCGAACAAAAACTTATTCACGGTTCGATGCACGGTTCAAACGAGTCACGAACCTACACAGCTATGAATCGCGCTTTTGGTTCAAACCTTGTCATATTATTTTTTGTTAACCCTAAACTCAACGAAAATGGTTTTGTGCAAATGTATGTAACAGGGAGCAGGAGGCAACTCACTAGCTGAGTCGATCTAGCCATGTCCGTCTGTCTGTCCGTCTGTCTGTCTGCCCGTCTGTCTGTCCGAGTTGTCTGTCCTTTCGTCTGTCCGCTCGTCTGTCCGTATGTATAAACCCATCGATTCCATAAACTCTAAGAGCCAGAGACATTTAAACTTAGGTCTCCTAGTGCCCATGCAGAATGGGCTTGTTGTCCGATAATCAATAACTTGTCGAGTTCCTGTTTTTGAGCAAATTTCCTAGGTTATAATGGACAGTCACCAAATTTGACATGTAGCATCTTTCATGTTATATAACCCCCCGCCCCCCTCCTCGTACATGTGTTAAAAGAACGTTCAGGGTATCTCCCAGTCGGGCACTCCCGACTAGAGCACTCTTACTTGTTTTCATTTTAAGCTGTACAAATTATTATTTGTCGATATAATTTATACTACCCCGCGGGTAAGAGCGCGTAGTACGTATAAAATAATATAATAAAGATCCAAACCTCTTGGAAATCGTATGAGGTCTGAACGAGTTGGGAAATTTCGAACTACGTCTATGTAGGATATTTGTGGGTAACATTTTCAAATGAACTTTGACCAATAATAATTTTGCCAAATTGATCTAGAGGCCAAACAAAGAGCCAAACCTCATGAAAATCGGCTGAGCTTTTACCGAGAGATACGGGATTGGGAAATGTTGACCCATGTCTATATGGGATATAGAATAATGTTGTTTTCGTTTAGTATTTGCTATTTGCATAGTAGAGAAAATATCGTAGGCGCTTTGATTGAAACTAAGAAATGACGGACGGTAAAATATTCTGAAATAAATCGGTATATGAAAAATAAGGCTTAGCGCAGAGTTAGAATGGATTGATTTTTGGTCGACTTACTTCTTTTTCTAAAAGATGATTTGGCTATTAATGAACTCGTTTAAAAACTGGCTTGCAGTTTTGCAAAAATACGCCGTGTGTGGGTTTTCTTTTAATTGCGATTTTATTTCAAATTTTGCTTGTGGTCTTGAAGACACGTTCGCTATATATATCATATATTTAAATATTTATAATTTTCAAACTTAACGTGTTTTCTTTATTGTTATATTCGAGTTTAAAACCAATTTGTGCATTTCAATTGGGCTACTAACCTGTGTGCCCTTATTCTTCTTATTCTCAACAAACTCTTGCGAAAGCCAGCTTGCAAAAATTTCAAATTGCTTGTATACCATATAAGTACGTATTTATATAATCTATCATCTCTAATAGGGAATTTCAATTTGATTGCTTTTGTTTGAACTTAGTATTGCTAGATATATGTATGTATTTATATGTATTTGTGTTTCGTTAGTTTATATAGTTTTGTTAATTTGATAAGCCACAAGCTTTAAAGCGCACTTCAGTGCATAACATGAAATATCATTATTTCAAAACTCCTTCTCTTCCTCTTATATATATATATATATATATATATGTATATATGTTGATATATATCTCTAAACCCTTTGTATGCGTTTGCGTGTGCTTTTTATTGGTGGTCTGTTAATAAACTTTGTTTATACAATTCTACACAATTCAACAAGTTACTAAATAACAATCTCACATACAATTCATTTTAGGCATGATTGTATGTGTGTGTGTGTGTGTTTTTTTTTTTCTATCAAAATGGTTGCAACAACAAATCTACTCAAAATATGCATTTATAATGTCTGTCATATATAATATAATATAATATATCTCTCATTGTTTATATAACAATGTAGTTCTCGATTATTGTACGACTGCCAGAAGCATTTGTCGGCGGCTCGATTCGGTACAAAACTAACAAATGGAGCAGTGCTTTTTTTGCGAGCACTAATAACAAATTTGGTTTATAAATATAAATACATATACACGTAAATTCGCACTATATATATATATATATATATTTATCTGTAAATATATATATATAGATATATATATATATATACATATATATGTATATGTCAGTATTTGTTAAATGCGTCTCTGAAAAAATAGTATGTCAACAATTTTATAAATATTTCAACTTGTCTCTTTTTCGAGTTTTGATTAATTCGCTTTGCACCCTTCAATTGACGAATGCTCAATTCTAAGCTAAAGCCAGCGATTTTAAGTTTTCCAATAGCATTAAGTTAGGAAAGTAACTAGCGATTTTGTGGACAATAGAATTATCCTACATTATAATATATGTATATAGTGATAATTTAGAAAGTGAACTCTTTGGCTTCTTCCGATTGCCGTTCATCAGAATGATGGATAAATCTGGTACGAAATTCCAATTCTAGTTGCTTCTCGTTAAATGGAGACACTGAAGGTTGCCTTCCTCAGCGCCTGGCGACAGTTTGTGGCATAATTTTCTAATTATTTTCCAAATAACAAATAGGCTTTAGGGTAACATCCAATAGTTAAGATTATGCAGCTGCAGGCTGTTCTTTGCATATCCTTTTTAACCAAGTTGATGCCGAAAGTCTAGTTAAAGCCAAAAGTTCAGGTTTAGCCATCCAAAGTGGGCACAGACACATTCCAGAGGCTCGTGCTTGTCCTGCTGTATAAAAATAGTCGTCGACTCGATTGCGTTGCGTTGAGAACTTCATCTGGTCTTTTTCGCCAGGCTGGTCGATCTGTTGGGATGAGAGAGAGCTTGGTTGAGTCGACAATGCCAGCATGAGCTATCGCTCCACCCACCTTCTGATACCGTGCCGTGGGCTGGAAGGAGGTGTGTGGCATGGTGTGGGCGGCGCCGAACCGCCCGATGAGCCACGCGACGACGTGATCGACAAAGTCGAGGCACGCGGCGCCGAGCAGCCCAAGTAGATAGCGGAACCCTTGTCAATCTCGCGCAGATCGACCCGCGATCCGTGAACAGATGAGGGCACCGAGCCTAGCAACAATTCACAATACGATCTTAGCTCGGTTCGTCAAGGTGCAAGTGGAAACATTTACCCGTATAGGCATGTAGGCCCGCCGGACTGCTGCGTGGTCGCACGCCGAATCCGCTCACGGTGCTGGCGCTGCGCTGCAGCTGTGCGCTTCCATTCCCCATGTTCCCCGCGGCGGCTGGCGCCTCCCTCTGACTTCCGGCTGTGTTGCCCTGGCCCGTGCCACTCATTGAATTAACCCTGCCGCCTGACTTGTAGCTGTACCGCGAGGGCGAACGTTGCAGTTGGAGCTGCTGCTGCTGCTGGCGCTGTTCCCTACGTGCATCCTCGATGGCTGCCGCATACTCTGCCGCCTCGCTGGAGGTAGTTGGGGCCAGCGTCGAGGCTGGCTGCTGGTAGGCAATCTCGTCCTCGGGAATACGCTCGTTACCTACCGAACGGCGCTGCAGAGGCGAGTGCTTGGGCGATGTGGGGCAGGACTGGGCAGCCGCGATGACGCCTCCGGCAGCGCTGCTGACGCCCAAAGTACTTGAGGATGAGTGCGTGTTGGCATTGGAGGACTGGGCCCGTGTCCTGGACTGTGTGCTGGAGGCGGTCGACGGCCGACGTCGGAACAGTCCTTTGGTGGGGTCCATGTTGCAGACGCCTAATGGAAACGAACAAGCACAGAATGGTGCAAAGTTTCAGTGACAGAAGCTGGTCAAACATTTTATTAGACTAGATTTAAAAGTAAGTTTGAAAAATTAGCGCTTGGTCTCCGGTTTTCTAGGCGGCCGCTTGACTGGAGTTTGTCGGGCCGTCTGACTAGCGGAGACGGCAACCTTCTGCCTAGGGGGCGTGGTGGCTCGCTGCTTTTCCTCGAACTTTTTAGCCAATCTTTTCATGTGAGCCGTGTATGGGCTGTGCCGCTCATCTTCCTCTGCGTTCTCGTCCAGGTTGTTGACAAACCGGCCAACGTTCGCGTCTGCATTGTAGTAGATCACATTGGGCATAAGCTCTTCGCCCGAGCTGCTGCTGGATATGCCGTTCGAGTCATCATGATCGGTTTCAAGGTCTGTCTCAAGCTCCGACTCCAGGTTGGACACCGAGATCTCTTCGCTGCTCAGCTGCTCAAATGTTCGGTTCTTCCATTTGTCAACGATGAACCTAAGAGTGTAGGCAACATTTTGCCGTACTTGGGCATTGCCCGAGCCCGAAGCCTCACGGCCGGTAATGGAGAAGCCGCCAATTGCGTAAGCGGGTATGCTCGCACCTGTGGGACACTTTTCGCCGCGAGAGCAATTGCCCTCGCATATGTCTCTGTTCTGTAACAGCTCCTGATAATTATCCAGCGCCAGTCCACACTTGATCCGATCAAGCTGCTCCAGTGCCGATGACGGGAAACGCTCTCTCAGCCGCCGACGCTCATCGGCCAGTTTATATTGCTCGAACTCTAGCAGCTGGTTTTGAAAGCCCGTGTTGGGATTGGCCACTGCGCGACCAGCGCGCACCACCTTCAATGCCTCCTTCCAGTTCAGATGCGTAGCCGTCATAATATAAGCCACGGCGACGGTCACTGAGCGGGACATCCCGGCCAGACAGTGGATCAGCACATTGCCCTCGCGTAGCCGAGCTGCATGTATGAAGTCGTTGCATACCGAAAAGTATTGCGACAAATTCTGATCCGGCGTATCCGAGGCCATAACGCACAGATAGTGCTTGTCCTGAAAGTGGACCCCATTAGTTAGATACAAATTAGTTGGCTCAAGCTCGGGCAGATGCATACCGGCAGCAGACGCCTTGGACTGTCATGTATGGCTATAATGTGAGAGATTTTGAACTTCTCCAGCTGCTGATAATCTTTGGAGTCGCGGTAATTGCCCACATATAGTCCCGGCAAGACCTGCCAAGCAAAGGGAACACGTTTAATAAAACAGAATTAGCGTTAGAATCGTCCGTTTACATTTCCCATATGCCAATTCATCTCGTTAATTGTGGTAAAAAAAAGAAAACAAAATGCCGATTGAAGGCCTTAAAGTTTTATATACACGATTGGATTTGTTTATTTGAAAATACAAAAGCCTGTTTGTTGTCTATTTGTTGTTGCTACAGGCAACTGGCCTTGACAACTAACTCTCAGGGTCGACCCTTCATGCACACTATGTTGAAACACGAAAGAGTGAGCCCTACACTCGGAAGTGCGCGACACAAAGATACCCTGCACTCACCGCCGAACTGACGAACATCCCAGTCGTCGGTCTTGGAACCACGATGAGGTACTTAAGAGTGCAATTGATCCAAGTATGAAGAATCATAGGATTCTCAGACGATCATCCGGAGGGACACAGAAGCTATCTCCCAATCTGGTGAATTGAATTTGGAGACGGAAAGGTGAAATGAACTTTCATCTAATGCAGTTTTTATACTGGACACGGGAACACTCTAGAATGACGAAATAGGTCGGGATAAGTAGACAGATCTGATCCATCATAAGCACCCAGAAAGTTCAGAGAAGCTGCGAAGAAAAGCAACGAAGAATGGAGGCAACCGATCCTTGCAAAGAAATGCCTTGAGTTAAAGAAGAGCTATCCAGCTATTGTTCATTTGAAATAAACTTGTTTAAGATTTTCCTAATGCACTTTTGCGGACAAAGAGACGGACCAAGATTATGTCAACTCGACCAAGATTATATATATATATATAGTCGAAGATACTTCCGTCTGTCTCTTAAGAGATTCAGAGCACAGAAAAGGCTGCGCTTGCAATCCAACCTTCTGATATTTTGTATTGTAAAATGCATTGAATTGGCATTGGGTTTTTATTATTACAACAGCATTTCTGTCAATTCTCTTGATTTGAGCTCCGTTCGGTTCCGTTCAGTTTGGCAGCATGCATAACTCTTACCTTGTTCATACCATTCCCCATGTTTCCTCATTTAAATGTGGCAGTCAACCTCCTTCAATTGTCAAAGCCTGAAAGTATAATAATAAAAAATAAAAAAAAAAAAACAAATAGAAATTTATTTGACAAGTTCAGGGCGAATTCCATGTGAAGGCTAATGCGGAGGCGACAAGCACGACCATATATTGTTGGGGCTGCCCCTGATGAAAGTGCAAGTGGCAGCTGTTGCGACTGTCATGGGCTCATCGCTGCCAACAAGTACCCTCACCTGCAGCACAACCAGAAACACAACCCGCAGCAGAAGCGGCCCAAGGAGCAGCCGAGCAGCAGAGCCGGGTCTCCTCCACGGATAGACAAACGTGGCCTAGACGCAGACAATGGCAAAAGCATCGCATCCGTTGCGGAAGTAAACAATCCTTGACGTCGCTGCCTTTGTTGCAACTCATTAGTGGGTTAGGCACACTGTCAGACACACAGACGGGCAGACACACAGACGGGCAGGCGGACAGCCAAACCGGGGGTACATACATAGTAGAAGAAGCGGCATAGTATTGTTGGGGCATGCAGCTCATTACGATTGGAACTGAATGCCAAAGTTCATATTTGGCAACTGAGCATTTCGTGATGCGCGATGTTCGTGTGGCCCCCAGAAGTAGGCAAGGCCTAGATTATGCCCCGTTGCAACAGTTGGTTGCCTCACTTGGCCCTTGGTCTGTCATTTGGCCACGAAAACAAAAGCTTGCTCATCACAAAGTCAAGACGACGCTTGGCCTGCTAAGCCTTGACTTATGCAACTCGTAGGCAGAGGCTCTGCCACGCCCAACCCTGCCGCCACCCACATCCCGCTCGAGTGCCTGTCCCTGAACATTTACTTTTATAATAGAATCAACCACATTTACATAAGTTTCAAGTTGGAGTGCAATGAGCAAAAGTGGCGCTTGCCTGAATTTCATAACAACTGTCACCTGACCGCAGGCTGACAAAAAGATGGCACCAAGATACGGCACGTTTGGCACGTTACCTGTCGCAACAGCTGCCTTTTCCCCCTCCACAAGGCAGAAATTACTAAAATTATCGCAGCAGTCAGCTCTTGAGCAGGTGCCATCGCAGGTAATTGATCTGACAAGTGGCTGGTTAGTTGCTCTGCCGCATCGCCAACACGAATTTCAAGCGAACACCTCAAAATCGGTCTAAAAATAGAGAACGCCCCCCCGCCCCCATTACGCCCTGTGGGAGGCATCCAAGCATTAGACACTCAATTCAATTGATTTCTCGATGTGTGTGTGTGTGTCTTTTTGAGCTTGCTGTCCACACAGCTTATGTAATGGCTCATCCGCTGGTCAAACAGCTCTCACATTTCGACAATTTCACAGCACATTTACCCAACGAGTTTTACAAGCGCTGAATCCTTTTAAAGGACGGGGGGGGGAGGGGATAGAACTAGCTGCGTCTGTTCGGCTGTTCCTAAGCATAAGATCTGGGAGACATTAGGCATATATTTATTCTCGAATATCTTTTGTTTCCCCTTCCTTGATTTATATGCACAGTTTGATGCCATGTTTAAGCCCGGAATATTTGTCAAGGGTCGGTACAAAGAATCACAACGCTAGGCAGCTGCAGTTGGGTTCGGCTCCTTCTCAACTTTGTAAGCTAACGCAAGAAATAGTCTAAATTTATTCGGTTAATACTTTATCATAGCATTGGATAGTCTTTCCCTTTATTTGCTGATCAATTCGTATCTATTTAAGCACATTAAACAAAATCAATAATAGCAACTGGTTCGTATGTTTGCCAAAACGGAAACCATTTAAAAAAAAAAGGAGCGTATACCTTTAGGCGCAGCGGAAACAACATTTAAATTTATGGCCAGTTTTAATTTAAGGGAAAAACTTTGGCACCATGTTCGCCATATTAACACGGAAATGGTATTTCGGCCGCCGAACTGTCAGCCCTATACTTCCACCTAGAAACGCTGCAGGCAGCCAAATGTAGATTTTTTCATTTTGTGATTTTCTGCAACCACCGATATTGGGAAATGGGGTAGTTGTGCCAAAAAGATTCTAACTGTATGTAAAAGAATTTGTTCCGACTATCGCATTTAATTAACTTTTTATATGCAGCTCGAGAGAGATCTAGTCGGAAGTGCTTGAAGTGCAAAGCCAAAGCCAAGTTTGAGCTTGGGTAAATGATTTATACTGAATACGTTTTTGAGTCAAGCACAGGGTATTTCCTAGTCATGTTTCTGTTTGTCACAAGTCTGGTGCCAATTTTTTCACTCAACCAATTGGCAAGGCATTTTAATCGAAATGAATTCATTTTCTGGCGCTTTTTATCACCTACACAAGATGTTAGATACGGCAAAAATAGCTACTAAAGGAGCATATTATGCAATACTAAGAGATATTGCCCAGAATTCGAACCTTGGCGATAATCTCAGCCATCTTCCGAGCTAGCTATACAACTAATTGAGAAAGAAGCTCCATTTGAACTTATCTATTTACAGGATTCCTCTAAAAATGAACGAATTCATGCCAGATCGGGCACAAGCGTTGAGTTCAGGCCTTGTTCCAATAAGATCCGCCACCAACTCTACCCAGGACCTATTTAAAGGGTAAATATATAAAACAGCCAGCAAGAAGCAGCTCTCTTCTTGAGTCCAGTCGATATCCTTCCACTGGGAGTCTATCTATACACCCGCACAGCCAGTTCGTATGCATGTAATGGCAGCTCCTGCCGAATGCAGGGTATCACCTAGTCCGTCACTTCGGACTGCGGCAATCGCAATAAGTGTTATCGTTGCTTTTATTGTCATTACCAAATAGTTATTTTCTTCTATTATTTTTTTTTTATACGTTTCTAATGGTTAGCCGTGTAATTCAATGTGGTCCGAATGAAAAAACCAGTTGCCATAAATTAGCCGAGCTTGTGGCCTTGCGGCCGGGTCAATAGTTGCAAAAACAAGAACCAGCCATGTCGGCCCGTGGCGTGTCGCGAGGTTATGTCTCCGACTCCGTCATGGATACAACCAACTGCTGGACACAGTCAGAGCCCAACGGGGCAGTCAATTATGCCGCTCAGGCATTTAACATTAGCAATAAAATAAATACATGCAAGCGGCACGAAACGGTTTGGACTGTGGTGCAATTTATTGGGCTGGCTTTGGGATTTCGATGGGTTGGGGCCTACGGAACTGCGCGTGTGACCCGGCCCCGAACAGGGTATTTCAATTGTTTGCCCAGAGCTCAACGAACTGTGCAAAGTGTTGTAATAAATGTCAGCCCCGGCGGCCTGTGAACCTTAAGAAAACAACAACACGGAGCACACACAATCGGAAAATGTCCACACACACGCACACACACTTTGTAGAGTGAATGCGGCCGATTAGGTTTTGTTTTCTTTTATATCGCTGCTAGCTGGCAGTTTTAGACAAGCTCAAGGGCCAGCCAAAAACCCAAAGGAAACAAAATACTTAGATGTGGGCACGGACAACAGCGCCGCTTTGTCTGAGGCTAGGCAAATGTCAAGATAAGTCAATGGACTGACGCAGGATAAACAAGTGCGAATGCACGACTAGGAGATGCCCTGTGTACAGCTGTGCACTGAACTATGAACAACCCAAATTTTATGTTACTCCATAAGGATTTTGGAGAACAGAAGATGTCGTGATATACAAGCAGCTTATGGATATATATACAAGAATTTATATTGATGGAGATGCAGAAGATTATATGTGGCTTCTGCCAGCTACAAAATCAGAATACCTTTTTATGCACATGTTAATTGTACAGGGTACAGGGCATAAAAAGTGTAAGCGATGCCGCTGCCCACATCCTCCACGGGCCGTCATAAAATAGTTGATTAGCATACAAGCGAAGGGCAATCAGAAAGCTGGCTGGAAAGTGGTTAAAGTGGGGGACTGTGAAGCAACTGCTGATTTTATGTGCTTTTGATCGGTCCAATTGCGTCGGGAGGATTTATTACAATGCCAACGGCGTCCGGTCGAAGTTATGTAAACAATCATGAATCCTGAACAAACACGAAAAATGGCGCGCAAGGCAATCTTAAATGCTGACCAGCAGCTGCCCGGGTTAGAGAATGTGCTCCACGGAGCCTGTCCATGTTGGAATTTGAGTTTGCATTGGTCAAATGCTGGCAATTAATTAACCGCATGCTTCTGCATTCTGTCCCAGCCAGTTGCCAGTTCCAGCTAATTGTGCTCCCTAAACACGCCTGGAATGGGGGAACACACGGAGGCAGGCTGGCGGCGCATGAAGGTCGAGAGCCAATACAAATACAGCTGGGACAAAAGCAGGACTCACTTATGTGTCGGCTACCAGCTATGAAATGAAATGGAAACTTTGCAGTTTTACTTTTCCAGTAAAAAGTGCTTAATTTAAATAATTAATTTTAATGCCGCAAATGAGTCGTGGAAATCTGGCTTGGGCCTGCATATGAAATCACGATGACAACGACACAAACTGCTTACATTTTGTTTGCAACAAGGGAAATTGCGCGATAATTAATTGAGCTCGTTATATTTATAACCTGAACACAATGATAATGGCCAAAGGAGGTAGAAGGGCTCAGTGCACATGGCAGAGGGAAAGGCAGGCAGGCAGGCAGGCAAACGGGTAGCTTCTCTCCGGTCTCGTAAAATAAATTTGTTAAGTTAATTGTTGCGAACAGCAACCTTTATACAAATAAGTTTCTTTTATATTCTATACCCTTTACGAATGCCCACACATAAAGTCGCCGAACTCATGGACTCAGAGAAGCTTGAAAGCTTGAAAAAATCGATTACAGGGATCATAGGATAACATTTTTTATATCAATCTTAAGAGCTATTTGTAGAGGTCGTATATTCTAATCGATCCTTCAGGATTTGCCACGCGCGCAGTGATCGTAGGCAGAATTGATAGTTATCGAGGTCGTAAACAAGTTCGATACTTATCGATATCAAGAGCTAATCGATGTATCACGAACTGCTACGCTTACAGTGGGAGTAGGTCCCATCGATTTTAAAAGATAATCGATTTTTTACGATTGCCACGTCTACAAAAGGTCTTTAGCAAAATCTATATATTTATCGATCTTAAGGACGAAACGATATGTCACGACTTGTTATGTGCACAGTAATCGTAAACTAAATCTATATTTATCGATCTCAAAAGCTAATCGATTCTTCGTAAGCAACAATATCTATTTTTATCGAACTCTAAAGCGCCTTTCGATAGTGCCCATCTAAATTTGTCGAAACTACCTTTAAATCTGTCGAAAGCAATAATGCCACGCCCGCTTAAAAGCTAGAGATAGCAAAGCAAAGTCCTTCACGCGCCAATTTATTTCATATCCGATTTCTCACAACTCCCACACCTCATTTATTCGGGGAAATATTTACTTGTCCATGGGTAAATATGCATATGTATGTGTGTTAACTGAATGGGAAACGAGTAAATTTGCAGCCGAGCAGGGAGCATGTGAATTCAATTCATGCATTCAGTCGACGTTCTCCGGCAATCGGCAATCAGCAATCCCCAATCATTGTCATCTAAAATGAATGCCTCGCTCAGCTGTGAAAGCGCCTTTGGTTGGTCGAGTGCCATGGAATGGGTTTTAGCAGAGCAAAAGTCAAATGTATGGCACGTTTGGAGGCATTTTCACACCAATTTAGACCCACAGCAAATTACAGTCCAAAACACAAACACACACACACACACACACACACACACAGTGAGGGGTACGTTGGTTGTGACACGGCCAAACACATTACTCATACGACGCGTGTGGCGTGTGGCGGGGCGCATTTCGATGGCGATGGCTCTACTTAAAGGAGAGTGCCGGGCTACGCTAATTTCAAAGTTGCGTGCAGCCAGCTTTTCGCAGAAACTACCCGACAAAAAATTAACTGCAAATTACGCCATCCTGCAGCATAATAATATACGCATTTAGGTTTGCATTAATGCCCCAAATGTGACGCCGAGCTCAGAATGTCCCAAATTGTTTGAGTTGAGGAGCAGCTGAATTAGACCCAAGGGAGCCAACATTTAAGCAGTTGCCGCTACATACCTGAGTTGGCAAAAAATGCTAATGCTGCGGCTGCTCCTGCTGCTGTCTCGAGGCAACCCAATGCCCACGTTCACTGCTCCATGGGCAGCTAGAGCACCTGGAGGGTGCTGACGCGCGAAGTGAAGTAGATGCAGGCAATCGCCCGTGACAGTCGCTCCTTTACGGCTCTTGTTATATCACACACGGCGCGAGAACTTAACGGACGCCAGCGCCGGAGAGCTGCTGCCGCGTTGACCGAAGCGTAAAATGATGTTTGAATTAAATTTTTTTTACTGTTTTTTGTTTTAGTTTAATTTTGTTGCCACTTTTCAAATTTTTCCATTTGAAATGCCGTTTAACTGGCAAATAGCTGACAGTTAATATGTTTGGGGCTTGTTAATTATATCTTATGCTGCGCTTTGCAGCTGAGAAAAACGTTGTGTATCGAAAGGGAGCGAGCGGGCGGTTGGAAAAACCAACGAAGTAGCAACAACAAAATAACAAAGTCCAACCGCAACAACGGCGCGAGAATAAAACCAAAAAAAAAGAGCTGAGTCCCCGGATAGCCGAAGCGGCAATACGCCTCAAACGCTGGTCACAGACTGAGACCGAAACTGAGACAAAATCTTAACCCAACCAGACCTGGACTCTAGGCAAACTGAGTGAAAATGCCAGCCGAGCGCCATGAATGAAGCACCAGATTCTGGGCATGCGCACTGCCCAACCACAACAGAAGCGCGCCAACTGAAATGACTCGACTCGGCAACGACTCAACTCAAACTCTTGCATGGTTATATAATCACGGCATTTGGACTGGGCGCACAGTGAGGTAAGAGAGCCGTCACACCTGGCTGGCTGGCAAGCGGGCGTTGAAGGCAATCGGCCGGACAATTGAGCCGTCGCTCAACGCGCAGCCATGATCCACAGTTGCAATTGTCGACTCATCGTGTGCGGCTCCCGTTTTGGTATTTGTTTTGGTAGACTCGGTGCCCCCAAAAAAGGAGCCTGAGCTGATTACCAGATATGTACATGTGCACACATACTCAGTGCTCATGATAATGTCAACGCTTTTGGGCTTGGCCACAAATTCCATTTGCTTTCTTATTGTCAGCACATAATAATATAACTCTATATATAAATCTGGTTATCCTGACTGACGCGCAAATATTCACTTTATGTGATGGACGGGCTCCAATTTTGCAATTTAATTTGCCCCTAGCTGCGTTGCAAATTGAAAAAAAAACGTATTTTTACCTAACGCCCTACTACTCGATTCTCATGAATTCAAGTAAGTAAGCCGCGTAGGCTTCACTTCATGTGAAGGAGGAGGCGGCTTCAACTAAGTAGAAGAGGGCGGCTGCAACTATAGAGGATGCCTCAGTCTCAGCAATGAGGAGACAGCAACTTGAGCAAAGGTGACTATGGCTATCACGAAGAAGGTGGCCGATAAAAAATCTGGTACATATTTTAGTTATGCTATGTCTTATTGATTGTAACTTTATTTTTTTTGTAAACCATTTTTAAACTAATTAACATTTTTTGTTCTTTCAGTAATGTGTTTATATAAATGTTCGTCTTATGATGGCTGACTATAAAATATCTATCCATGTAGATTTACAGGTAAGTACGTAATTATGAACATATTTTTCCACCCACGAATATGAATACGGTTGCAACCTTTTTTTGTTTACCATGCGATGGGCTTCACGATCATTTTTAAATATGTATGTGGAAATTCATCTGGTTTCACACTTTTCGTAGATCCACCTATACTTAAACCTTGTTTTTTCTTAGTAATCTAAGTATATAACAATACAAAGTTAGATGTGGAATTCAAGATAGTAAGGGTAAATTTAAGTTGACGATAGGCGGAAAATGGGTGAAAAACTTAAATCTTATATTTGAAGCACAGAACTCGCCACGCGCAAAGGCGGGAAACACCCGCTAAAACTTTATAAGCATATATTTGCATGTATATAATACATGCATACACACATTGTTCTAGGTAAACGTATGTAGACTCACGCATAGCAAAATATTTGGATGTATGCAAAATTTAAATATGAAATATTTTAGTTTTATATGCTCAGCTGCCTCTGTTGTGAATCTCAGAGTTGTTGCTGTTGCCCACGCCTGAAATGATTTGGAAAATAAATCGAACGCAAATAGCGGCAAGGCAACGTTATGTGTGGGCGTGCTAGTGACCAGGCAGTACATACATATATACATACATATATACGTATGTATGTATGTACTATTCATATATCTTATACAAATTTAAGAAATATGCCTTTGCTTGAAAGGCGACAGCTTCTGACGCATCATTGTGGCCAAGTCAAGCAGTAAACAGCTGGTAAAAAAACTCATTTTCATGTCAATTACTGTGGGTTTTCCCGGTATTGTGCTTGGCAAATGACATACATACATACATTTTATTTACTATCGATAAGCGTGCGAATCGATTGATCGATTATTGGGGCTCGTTTCTCTTCCGTGTAGGTGTGCAACGAATTGTGACGCATTTAAAGCATGGTGTCAATGCTGGCTTTAAGATGTATATGCACACACACACACACACATGCTAAATGACTATACATACATATATACAATGCTTTTTCGTATGCTTTGAGCTGGTTCAGAAGCCATGCGACTGTCGCTGCTACTCAATATCAGCCTGCGGAATTTGCTCTCTCGTGCAGCTTTTGGATACTCAGCTGATGTATATTGTTGTAGTAGTTATTGCTGCCACTGGCTATTAATAAATCTGATGTGTGTGAATCTCGACGCTCAGATGGCTACCGATCGGCCCAGAGAGCCAGCAGCTACTTCCATAGAAAGAGAGAGAAAATTGTAGTAGATGAGAAAAACACAATATCGTTTGCAATGTGGTTGGCACATTGTAAAAACACTTACCAATTTAGGACTTAACTGTTATCCGTTAAAGCGTCGCAAACAAAGTTAACAAGCCGCGTGCTAGCTCAACTTAACAACTGAGAATGGAGATGGAGAGAGAGAGAGAGACTGCGTCGTCGCCAAACGTAACATCAAGGCAGCCCCAAAACGAACGAACGAAAAAGGTTGCGCTCAGTCGACGAGCAACTTTGGCAGCGAGCAGTGGGCAACGACGTGAACTATTAGACTAACGGACAAATATACTACGTGGTCGTGCGTGTGTGTGCGTTCAGCAGCAATGTGCAAAAATATTTTTATCTATAGGTGTTGTATATTTAAATTGAATATATAAATACAAAGCATCACACCGCGCACACATAACAGAAGGAGAGATCGAAACAGAGAAAGAGAGAGAGAGAGAGAGACCTTAAAGCGGCCAACGGAAGTACGTAAAAGCAAAAAGTATCGAGAGTGCATTCGTGTGCGTGTGCTGAACAGCTGCCGTGGCTGTTAGAAAGTGTAGCCAAAGAGTGACATCACGTCAACCGAGACAGGAAAGGCGGGCAAGACGCAGAGGATACTGAGCAATTAGCAATCGATTACGCTGTTGTGGAAAAGTCGCATCTAATCCCAGCGGCAAGTGGAGAAACCACAGTACTTATAAAATATCAAATCGTATCGTATCGGATCGGGACGGACGAAACGAAACGAAACGCGACGAGACGAGACGACGGCCGGCTGCGGAACGTACGAGAATTAACGGACAAACACATTGTCGCTCTCAAGGTGAACCTGCCTGCCGAACATAGCAGCAACAACAGCGCCAGCAGCAGCAGCAGTAGCAGCACAACTCAAAGCAGAGCAACATTTTTTTTTTCGAAATTAGTCGCAGCGCTTCGAGACGCGTCGAGCAACGGAAACAGAAAGTGACAGGACTCGCTTAGGGCAGCCAATATGAAGCCAACTGTGATAGCAGCAAGCCAGCCCGGCGCGGGTGGCGGCGGTGGTAACGGCAACGGCACGCCTGCCGGATCCGGCATCAACATACCCATCAGTCGCGAGTATGTCGGCAGCGGTGCCTCGCCGCAGCAGCAGCATCCTCAGCATTACGCACAGCAGCAGCAGCAGCCGGCTCAGTTCTATGCCAGCCAGCCAACGGCGTATGGATCGCCACGCCAGCACCAGCCGCAGGTGCCCACAAATCCGCAGCAGCAACATTTTCAGGTGAGTGACTGGCTAAAAATCGACGGCGCCAGCCTCAAGGTCGCCTCTCTGCTTGCTTATATGTACATTTGTATGTAGACTGGCGCCCGACAAGGTCGCTTTAAATTGTTTTTGGCGACAGATGCGTTTGCCGATGAAAATTTAATTAGCTCGTTCTCTGAAAATGCACAAAAAGCAACCTTTTTTTTTTGCTGCGCATCGGAAACTTATAACTTCGCCTTGCATTTTTGTTGTGTAAAGGCGAATTGGAGGATATACAAACATATATAACGTATGCATGTGTGCGTGCAAGTGTGACTCTCTCATACATACATACATACATAGTATGCAGCCATGCCCTACAGCAGCTTGAGAAGTGTGTCAAGTGTGCGTGTGTTTGTGTGTGTGCTTACACTATTGACCCAATAGGCTTGCTCTACATATGTATGTAAATCACAAATACATATGTACCAACTATTGACATATGTATGTACAGTCAACGCTGCGTATGATTAACGTAGCGCGGCTTGCGGAAATTTACCATGGAACAGCATCAACTGAACAACGGGAGTATGCCAAGTATAACCACAGCTGATTGGCTATCTAATCTAATTGCTGGCCACACAAAAGTATCAAGTGTTTTTTATGAACGAGACGAATCGACGCTCGATTTGATTTGTGCTCGTTAAATATATTTAACAATTTCTAGAAAATGCGTGATGATAGACAAACGCAAATGTTCTACCGACCAAATACGCGGCGAGAGTAAGACACACAAAATGAGAGAGGAAGAGAGAGAGAGCGAGAGAGAGCTTATTAAAAGAACTGGCAAAAGCAAACATTTGGTTTATTTCTTGACTCGCTTTTTGCTCTCAGCAAACGCTAAATATTTTCGACTCAATCGCAACTGTAGCTGTAGGTGCACTTACTTACCAATACATTTACAAACACACTCTGGCAGGCTTATACATATACATATAATGTGTGTGAATGTGTGCATGTGGGTGGGCAAATGGCAGTCTATATGTATGCATGTATTTACGTATATACAATATACACATGTACAAATGCGTGTAGGCGGCGACAGCGACAGCTCACGAAATAACATGAGCATATATTGCTTAACTTGTTGGCCAAATCGAAGAGGCCGCGATGTTCTGTGGTCAGTCGTCACAAGTTTCTGATCGGATAGTGACTTGATTTGTTTACAACACTTGCAAACCTACCCTATATGTACATACATACATGTATCCACATACAGAAACATGAACTTAAGTCCACCCGAGAGGGTATTATTGTTGTCGATCAGACGAGCTAAGTTTATATACAATTGGCTAACTGGAATAACGTCTAAATACATACATAATATACATATATACATACAAACAATGGCAAGAAAATTGTGAGCGAGTAAATACCCCTACATATTATTTTTTGAAACGACATGTATGAAATCTCGGACCCATTAAAATAAACATATATGTAAATAAAGATATTCTTAATTAGCTGTGTCGATCTACCCAATTTCTTCTGAGTCAGAATCTGTTTTTCTCATGCCTAATGTATAGTTATATGAGAGAAGAAGAAATCTGAGAGTCTGGCTAAAATGTTTGTTTATCTTTGTAAATGTAACTTTACCTATGTCTAGCAATTCACGAGCTTCAGTTAACTGATCAGACCATCAGGCTTAGATTTCAATATTTGATCAAACATTTACATTAGTACCTTCCCCTTTTTTTGCCTATTTAAAGCATATTATTAAGAAATATTTACCAATGCAGTACAAATTATTCGAGCATATTCTTATTTGTTGTTCGTACAGAACGAAATTTAAAATTAGCTGCGGAAAAGATTCTTCATTTTGAAAACATAGTAAGATATTCAAGAGTTTGACAATACATATATGTAAAGCCCACAATCTTTAAAAATTCTCATAGAAATCAGTTTAGTATTAATAAGTAATATCAATATGAAACACTTAAGATATATCAAGAAAAAATTAACATAACAGAGTATTCCAAAGAGTCGTAACCATAATAACATTAATGAGTCGTCCACATTCAGAACATTCTCAAATAAATATCTATTATTCCTATGTTTCATCCGTACATATTTCATATACATACATGCATATTATCAATATCACTTCACGCCTTTCGGAAGCGCGGGCGTCAACATAATAATACAGGAAGGAAAAGGAATTCACGCATGCATGCATAATTACTTTTGGCTTTGGGATCATCATTTAACATTTTTTAAAAATATTTAAGGACAATCACTCAGTGCTGGCAACGGTACATATGAAGGATACGCACTTTGTAATTTTTCCAACAAGGACTACGTATTAAAACAGTCAGGGTCCGTACATTACGTAAATTACGCATACGTATGTGGACAATGTACACACATTTTTATACATGTTACATATGGATGTACACATACATGTATGTATGTATTTGTGCTGCTCAAAGGAGAGCATCTCGTGCGTGAGAGCGCTGTCAAACCGTGCTGAAGTTGCCAGAAGCATCTAGCAACAACTTCGTCGTGGTGGGCGTCCAAGGCATATTGTCTGCTTGATTCTATAAAAGGCTGTCACCAGCTGCCCGGTTAGCTCATTCACAAGAAAACATTTCAGCGGAGAGCACGTCACGTCGCGTTAACGAAAAGGCGAATAGAAAACGTAGCAAAGTGTAAAAGTAAATTGTGAAAAAGGCTGTTCACTGATAAACCAAACAATCGACTTAAAATAGGTAATGAATAGCTGGCACACACATGCACAAATTCATATTGGCAATTGAATATTGCGGCTTGTAAAAGTGTTTTTTTTTTTTTGATCTGCTGACAAACAGCTGTTCGCTGATACATCGCACATACACACACATACACATTCAATGTGTGTATATATTGTATGTGTTATGTAGTGTGTACATAAAGTGTTAGTTAACGCAATAATAATTCACGTTGAATGGCAAAGCGTCTATTTACACGTTGACGTCACTTGTTTTTACTCAAGCTGCAAGTTCTTATTGTTTGTCATACACTCACGCGCACACACACACACACCCACACATGCCTGCACACATGGACTTGTTCGACTTTGACTGCGATTGGAGTGAATCATCCGCTTATTTATAAACAATTGGCCCGTGCGGGCATTTGGCGTGTTCGTTCGGCCTTTGCTAGTCACTGAAGACTGAAGACAAAACTTATGAATTGCTTTTGATATTTGCAGCAGGCCTTTGGATTCGAACCGGACATGGACATGGATATGGATAATATGTTCCCACGATCTCGGCTGGGACGCCTGCATAACGATCCTTTCGCCGGCTTCGGCGGCACACGTAAGCGGAATAGTTTGCACGATCCCCATACCCATAACTATCCTCAGGCACACTCAATGCATGCTGACGATGACTTTTCTCATTATTTCGACGATGCTGCAGACTTTGGATTTCCACAATTCTCTACACTTGGACGACGCGGCCGCGTAGCCGGCGGCGCTAACAGCCACATGGAGCCCGATGATGATTTCTTCAACAGACTGCCATCGGACTTCCGCCAGTACATACCAGAGGGATTTAGCGGTCGTCGATCTGCTGGCGGTGGCCCGCCACAGCCCCGTCCTCAGCAGCAGTACTACCAGCAAGATTATAGCGTGCCACAGCAGACCGGACAAGCACAGGCACCTCAAGCTCCGCAGTCGCCCTCGAAGCGTCTGTGCGACGCGGCCATCCAAACGGATGACCCCGCTGGCCGCTCGGAGGTCGATTGCGCGCCACCTGTCAATCTAAACCAGCATGGGCTGCGCAACACAATGGATATGGGCGTAAAGAGCGTCACCGAACAGGAACAAGGGCCGCGCTCGCATTCTGCGCCACCGCCAGAGCAGCAACAGCTGAATCAACAATACCAACAACAAAAACAACAAACAAATCAACAGCGGCCGACGCCGCCGCCACAATTTGGCACGCAGACTAGTCCACCAGTACAGCCTAATTTCGGAACGGGTCAGCCACAGCCGCCGCAATTCCATAAGACTTATTATCCGCCACAGCAGCAGGCGCATCCACAGCAAAAGCAGCAAACGCCGCCACCTCCGCAGACTCCGGGCGGTAGCAATGTGCGCACCATACCCATCTTTGTAGAGGGTCGCACCGAGCCCATTATCAATGCGCATAAGGAGATACCAAATCAGAGTGCTGCTGCAGGCCATGCGCAGGCACAGGCACAAGCTTCGGCCCAGGCATACTATGCGCCGCAGCAGCAGCAGCATCCACAGCAGCGTCCTGCTCCGCTTAATACTCAACAGCCGCAAGGCGATCCTCAGTTGCAGACGGACGCTGGTGTCGGTGTGCCGCCGCAGACTCCACATACGGTAGACTCCATCAAGAAGATTCAGGATATACAGCGAGACGTTCTTGATCTGATGGCCAAGGTGGAACAGTTCAAGGGCACGCGCAACGACAAGGAATATGTGTACCTGGATGAGATGCTAACACGAAATCTTCTCAAGCTAGACACGATCGACACAAACGGCAAGGATAGCATTCGGCTAGCCCGCAAGGAAGCCATCAAGTAAGATCACCGAGTGTTCTCTTTATAATATAGCCCGATCCTAAACTGGCTTGAACCTATTTTTTAGGTGCATACAGGCATCAGTCAACGTGCTTGACGCCAAGGCCGAGGAGAACGCCAGAAGAGCATCTGGTACAGTAGAGAACGCGGCAGCCAGTACAGAAACTGAAGAGCCGCAGAGCATCGCTGAGCAGGCTGAACCTGCAGCTGTCGCTGAGCCTGCTACGCCCCAGCCGTTGGATGCCACCAAGATCCAAGATCCTATACCTCTGCCACCACCACCAAGTGCCGCAGAGGGTGCTGAGAATGTGCCAGACTCGCAAGCTGCGATTGACAATTCACAGCCGGCCACGGAGACGACAAAATCCGAGACCACAACGCTGACGACACAGTCGTCAGAATGATGATCGCAGTATATTTACAGGACGACCGTTTCGAAGCAGCTACACAAATTAACCAAAATCAAGTAATCGGGGGATCTAATCTATTGTTTCAAATTTCTCGGAGGAAAGCGACAAATTTTTAATTAAAGCATTGTTTGTGAGCATCTGATTAGGTGTGCTGGTGAAGTTGCATCGAACTCTTTGCTAGTATTTGTTAAATATACACATATTGCAACATATACATGCGTACGTAAACTAGGATAAGTTAATAATGATATAAATGACAGTGCCTGCATATTATTGAATTGAAAATGGATATTATAGTGAAGAATGTTACAATTGTTGAATTAGCTGATAATTCAGTCTTATATCAGAGTTGATGAATTTGTAAAGGATCACCAGGACAAGCAAGAGTATGATCTCATACAAAACTACACACATGGTAATGCACTGGTTGGCAATCTGCCGAAGATAGGTAGCTCGAGTCTTGCTAATTGTTAAACAAACAGGAAATATTCTAATGCAATACTTTTTGTGCTACTAATTATTAAAATAAATGTAGATATTGTTCACACTATAATACACATACATACAAAACATATATTGGCTACATATAATAATACAAATCGTGTGCATTAAGAAACATTTTAAAAAGGACGCAACATTGTTTCGAAATCTTAAAGTTAACAATCAGATATAAAATGTATACACAAATGGAAGGCACCTGTGAGAACATGGTGCGCGTGATGTACGATCTAAACCGTGTTATAGTCGCTTATAGGCAATATTAAATCTCATTAGGTATAGTATAAATTGCATTATTGTTCAAGATATTACTGGGCAGCCGTGTTTTAAATGTGAGTAATTCGGATATATGCTCCATTAACTACAGCTATGGCTGTTAAGGTTTACACCTGCAAAAACTAGTGTTGCTGCTCTGCAGTTGCCATATTAGATACGGATTTGCATTGTATTGTTAATGCTAAGTGTGGTTTTAGTTGATGATTTCGACATAGTTTGCCGGAAACAGTCCATAGGTTCCGTCAGGGCCCAATCCCTGCCACCAGCCCTCGTCAATTTGATCGATGTGCGTTATAACATCGCCGGGATCAAACGTTATTTCTGATTCATCAGCTGCCTGATAGTCATACAAGGCACGGGCACGTAGACCCAAGTCGCCCAGGCTCTCCTGGCATATGAAGTCATCCTCATTGACCAGATCGGTCACTTATATTGAGCAAATATAAAGAAAGAAATAGATTAATATCAACGTATGATACTCATTTCGACAACTTACATGCATTACGTTCCAGTGTACTTAAGCCGGATGTCTTAACCGATTGGGACTGCTGCACTGTGACTGATACTTTGGTGCGCACCTCTTCCTCTTTGTATACAGCCGTGTCGGTCTCGTTTGACGATGTCGTCGTCTCATCCGGTGACTGTGATTGAACCGAGTTTGTTTTACTGTGCGGCGATCGTTTGATGGTGGAGAACTGCTCACTCTCATGAGCCAGTGGTAGGTCCTCAGTTTGCTGCAGGTCCTCCTCGTTTATGGTTTCAACGGAATTCACCTCGGCCACAACTGGTGGCTTGTTGGCCTCAGAAGCTTCGGCGGCCACTGGAGGATTAATAGGCGAAACAGACTGTGGAGGCAAGGTGGCCTCTGTATCCTGATTCTGATTGTGATTGAATACGTTTATACGCTGTGCAATAGAATTTCGGGCGGGCTTCGCCGGCGGTTGTGTATTGAGCCTGAAACTTCGTACAATAAATAACAAGAATGCAAATCAAGCCAACGAGCTTACTTGGATTGCAACTGGCCCTCGCTGGTGTGCTTGGTGAACATTGCCTTGGCAGCACCCACCCGTGAGCCGATCAACTCACGTGCCTCCTGATTCCGCGCCTGGCGCATACGCTCCGCATCGGTTAGGTTATTCGCAAAAGTTGCAGATGTTTTCTCAGGACTCAATGGCTGCGGCGAACTGAAAATTCAGTATGCGGTTAAGTCACAAATGTTCAACAGAATGTCAATAACATGTTCGTATATTTACGTTTTAATGGGCACATGAGCCGGCTGTAGTTTAGTCGTGCTTATGACCAGCTTTTCGCGCTCCTTATGCTCCTTTTCTTCGCGAGCGCGTTGCTCCTGCTCGAGCTTCAGAAGCTCTAAGCGCTTGGCTTCCTTTTCAGCACCAATGCGATGCTTCTCCTCTGCTTCCTCCTTCTTCCAGAAGTCCTGCATGACACTCGCGTTGAGCTCCTTTGTAGGAATAACCCGAGTATAGTTTGTGCCCACTGGCGCCTTTTGCTCCTCCATGGCTCCACGCGGCTCCTTAAAACTGTATGCGGAGCTAACCGTGCTCAACTTCTTTAACAAACGCTCGATATCGATGTCATCCTCATTACGTGCATTGATTGTCAAATGGGCACCGGAGAGAAGTTTACCCACGTCATGAATATGGTTCGCGCAGGTGCCCTTGCGTAGCACTGGTGCGCCTTCGCCCTTCAAGGTGGAACGGTAAATAGTTAGATAAGATAACAAGAATGAACGAAAAACAACACACTGACTCACCTGCCAGTTGACGAGCAGGTACTTATTGAGGCCAGTCTTTGGATCTTCGATTTGCAAAAATGCGTACATTATTTTGCCGCTATTGAGGTCCTCGCTTAGCTCGTCTACGCCGCCGTCTCCTTTTCCGACCAGCTTCAGTTCGTTCGTCTGGCCTTCATAGCCAAACAGCGCCCAGTTGGTGCTGCTCTTGTCGTCCAGCACATCCTTCCAGGCACCCACTATTTGCGCCCGATGTTTCTCGAAGCTAATTGCCATTTTCTTCTTGCGTGTTCGCGATTGAATGTGTGTTAATCTCCGTTCACCCGTCGGCAACCAATGCCAACGACCTTGAACAAAGCCGCAAAATGCGATAAATCGAACTTCCAAAAGTCTTCACAAGCTTTCACTCGTGCACCTTTTTTGGTGCTGTCACCGCCAATTTTGGTAAAGCCAACGCCCCAAAAGTGCAATTTTCTCACTTGAATGGAGTTTTAATTAAATGCACATCGAATGCAGCAGAGACACACACATAAACGCAACATTTACGTAGGTTTTGTTGATATAATATCGATAATAACGATTTTTGAATTTTCGATTCGGAGTGTCGATTTATGCCGTTGGCTTGTCCGTCAAATCTATGAAAAATGTATTAGGACATGAAAAGGTGGCTACAAACAGCATGCGTATATTATTAAACAAAATGCCTGGTAAAAAAAGCTGTTACATCTTAATTTTGAATGGGTATAATACATTTTAACGTCAATTTAGCTAAAACTTCCATAAAAAAATACTAGAAAAGACTCACTCAACGATGATCTGTGCTCGGTGTTCAAGTTTGCACTAAAAATGGCCGCAGTAGTTGCAGTCGAGCAAGGCATTAACCATATGGCAAGTGGCCATAATAGCCACTAGGGTTGTCGCATATTTATAAAAATGATTTCGTTTTTCTTATTTGTGTGACCGTTCTGTACGAAGAAAATTAATCGACCACACTTTGTTTTTACTTACATTCCATTGGAGAAAATTGTAAGTTTTCTGCGTTTTAAGTTTTACTAACTAAATACTATTTTTAATTAACACAAAATGTTGAAATTGCACCTAAACTTTTATATACTCTGCGAGCAAACTTTGTTTATTAAGTGGGTATCGGAAATCGTTTTCACACCTTTTGCTTTCGCGCCAATGTTAATTTTTTTTTGGCGCCAAATTTCAACAAATGCTGCTCAGGAAATCTAAATTAAAGTATGTCTACTGTTTTATGCAAAGCTTTGAGAATCGCTTTTATGTCAGGAAAGATGATGTAGTTAAAATCAAGTTTATTGTCATCCTACAATTTTCTCCTTCCCTACTACAAATACATTTAATTTTTAGCCATCAGAGATTCATTCTAATGGTAGCATTTAAAAATGCGCCCATTATTCTAACGAAAAGATCGGAAATAAAATAATGTTGTGGTCGGGCGAAAATAAAACTTTCGCTATTACCACACTGAACCCACATTTCACAATACGGGGTAGAATGCGTTCCAAAACGAGCATAAAACGAATCACATCACGCATTCTTTTCGGATGACCCATGTTGGCTGTCACTATTGTCTGACAGATTGTGATGGCGGCTCTCATAAATGTACTTGAACTCATAGTTCTCGTCGATGCCCACAAAATAGGTTGGCAGTATGCCACGCCCCTTGACGAAAGTCATGCCGCGGTAGTTACACTCTAGGCCATATTTGCGCAGCATTTCGGCCGTCTCTTCGGTCACCTGGATTTGGCCAGCTAGACCGGTGGAGTCCATACGTGAGGCCATGTTTACCGCGTTTCCCCAAATATCGTAGTGCACCTGTGAGGCACCCACAACGCCGGCCATCACCTCGCCGCTTGATATGCCAATGCTCATATCAGCAGTGAATACATCACGATCCACTGGCACGTTCCTATAATCATTGTTGCACGTCCAGAGGGTGCGCATCAGATCCAACGCAAAGGTGGTCAGCACAAAGACCACTTCCTCCTTTTTCTCGCTCGACGCATAGTTATCTTTGCGGAGAACCGAAATTGAGCGACGAGCACGCAGGACTGCAACAGGACAGACATATATATATATTATCAGTAGAGCTCTTAGCCCAATCGCTCACCCTCCTGGATAACAGATTCGTGTGTACTCCTCTCTTGGCTTATAACTGAGGAGAAACGCAAATCTAGGCCACAGGCTGCCATATATGTACAGCCCACAATTTTGATCTTTTCTACCAGATAATCGTCCCTATAATATGACAACTACAGCAAAGAAATAAGCGTTGGCAAATTGCACAGGCCATGTGGCTCTTACGATTCGGTCAAATTCGGATATGATCTCGTTGAGAACCCGCAAGTTTGGCAAATCCAATTGAAAATTGTGCAGGGATGCGAACATGACAGCCACCATTGCGTAGTCTTCATAGTATAGCTCGTGCTTGGCCAGCGAGGTCAGATACACATTGGCTGCATACAAGTATAGAATGTGTTAATGAGTAAACAAATTTGAGATTATCAGTTCAACAAAAAAGTCCTACCGACATGGGCTGGCAAAATATTGTGCAATAGAATCGTGATGGACTGATCCGCTATAAAGGCATCGTGCTGTTTCTTTAACAGCTCCTCTCTCCATCTAAATAATTGCAATAGAAAAACAAATTGTAAAAGCTATTGGCTTTGTGTTAGGCATTCACTCACTTGTAGTTGATCTTGTTATTAAACTCGGTCTGTCGCTCCTTGAAATATAGACTCAGCAGCGTAATTATGACCAACAAACAGTGCGCGTATTCCGCCTCGAAATAGGGATTGGTTGTGAGACTATGATGAACTATGTACTCAAACTGAAAGAACAGAATGATCATATAGGTGATCGCCTCCAATGTGCTAACCACAACTTTCATCATGAAGGGAATGCGTGTAAAGATAAGGCTCATCCCAATTATGAGGCACACCATGTTGGTCAGAAGCCAGGGATGAAAGCACATATTCATATCTGGCTCGTAATGATAGAGCTTGCTCTCAATATGCACCACCTCGTACTCCTCTCTGTCACAGTCCATCTAATTGGAATAGCCATACAATGTAAGAGATCTAGCTTAAGTCGCAAATATGATACCCACCAGCATGACGGTTATAATGCTAAAGTACGATATTATGGTGTACATATAGATGCCAATACGTTTGATGAGACTGCGCTGAATACTTTCCGCAACTCGGAATAGACAGCAACTTATGCGAGAGTATTTGTGGTCTTGAGTTGAATACCGCAAAAAGCAGAGCTTCTTATACCAGGTTAAGAAAAGTAAAACGGTTAAGCTCAGCATCACAACAAGGTCCACAATCACGCCATTCTTGACCAATCCGCTGTCATGGACATATTGTATGTAGCACAGATTGAGGCCAAATACCCAGGCTAAGAGCATACTGTACTTTAGCATGTAATCGGGCTGGTGCATATAATTATATTCGAGGCGTGGATCGCGAAAATGCAATAGATAAATGCCGATTACTGGACGTGCTCGTATCCGTTCCTTGTCTTTGTCTTTTCCCCACAATTGAAACACCTCCTTAAAGTTCTCCTTAACGCTATCAGATAAATGTGGATTAATTGAAACCGGGCTAGTTCCATCGACGCTTACCTTATGGGACCGACCGGCATCTTTTTGAACTCTTCACGTAACTCCAGTCCAATCGAAGATTGCTTCTTCAGTTCTGTTTCAGAGTCAATTATTTTGATGTGGTCAATATCCAGATCGGGTATGGTCCTTGGTCTTACATTGAAGGGAATAAGATATGTGATAACGTTGTGCTTTTGAAGGAATGGATCATTACGGGCCTTTTCCGTACCGGGTTGCACCTCATACCTAGGCTCAATAATCATTTGGAGAGTTCTTTCGCTAGTGTGAATATGACCTGGCAAACCGGTACCCTCGAGTCGATTGGCAATAACCACATCCGAGCCTAATATAAATCATAACAGTGTGCTATACTTTTAAGTATATGTATTTCATATGCAAAAAGAGATCTTAAATACTACTACTACCTACCCCAAATGTCATATTGCAACTTTGCTGCACCAAGGACGCCGGCACACAGAGCTCCCGAATGGACACCAACGCGTATGTCTATGTCAAGTTTTTCCTTGGCTCTAAATGGATTGGAAGTGTTGTTATGTTAAATAGATATATCGGATTGTCTTCTTTGACACTAACCGCACTTCGCGAATGTTGTCGATCATACAGAGCCCAAAATCGAGACAGCATTTGGCATGGTCGGGATCCGGTCTGGTCAGACCCGCCACACAATAGTAGCAGTCGCCCAAGAATTTGATGCGTTGAACCGTGTAACGAGAGGCGGCCAGATCGAATCTGGCATACAATTCGTGGAGTAGGGAAATTAGCTGCTTAACCGTTAGAGTTGTGGTCAGATAGGTGTAGTTGACAATATCTGCATACAGGATACTGACATCGGGATGTATCTGAATGGCCATAATGCGATCTCGTCTGATATTGATAGGTGTATTGCGATGCTTTTCAGAGAACTTAATCCGATTGCGAATATCCTCTTGAATTGGCTGTGATATTTGCGGCGGCAATATGCTATGCAGAAACACTTTTTCCTGCTCCCGTGCGCTCCTCAGCCAAATGTCCTCCATCACATACTGATGCCGATCGAGGAACGAGGAGCGTACGATTATCTCGCGCATAATGCGAAAAAACGCACCATACAAATTTACACAGAACTGATGCGAAATTTCCACCGACAAATAGTTAAGGTGCGCCACATTCGATATCTCATATCGGTGCTTCGAAGCTAAATATAAAACAAAATAGGAAGTATAAATGACGGACACCGAAATTCCAAGCACTAGCGACGGCAAAATATACGGAATCGGCAGAAACATATAGATCGTAAAGAGGGTATATGTGTCAAAGAAGCTCCCTATTATCCAGTCGTCCATGTGGTAATGGTATATGTTAAGCAATAGATCTGTAAAAATAGTAATGTAGTCCAAGAAAATAATATATAGAAAATATGTGGACACCAACCAGTTACAACCATAAATACCACAGCAAGCACCGAGGTCAAATACTTTTTATATCTAAGTCTTGGCATACATTTTGGATTGGCACTGGGCCACAGAACTAAAGTGACGAGCACGGTAGACAGCGTATAACAGCCGACATCTATATAAATTTTATCCCTGTCCTGTGTAGGCAGACGATAAATGAACTTTATGGTTAACAAATGCTAACATATATCCACCTCGCACGTTGTCAGTAACATAACGCAGTGGAGTATCGTGAAAGCCAGGTGAAGCAGTAGAAAGACAACGACGTAGTTGGCGCTTAGACGCATCTGGTATGCAGTAAACTCTTTTTCTACACCCACCTCCTTGCACTTTTTCTGTGATTTTTTTTTTTTAGCATTTCGGTATATATATGTAGATAGTAGGTCATTAGTTCAATGTGATTATACGATACCTTTAGAAAATTTCGCTCCCAACGTATTTCCTTCGAATAATCTAATTTGCATTTCATTTTCACATTCTGCAAACATTTTATTATAACGAAATAAAAAAAAAACGGTATATTCAAGGAG